GGACAATGGCTTGATGTTTTGTTTTACTCTCCTCAGCAGCAATGACATATATATTCATGAATTTAGAGACGCAGCTAAAAGTGGGAACCGCGCAGCTCATGCCCTGCTGGATATGTGTGGGTTCATTGACATTGGCGAACCAGGCGCAGCGAAGTACATCTGGTGGCACGCCCTTGAACTTCTAGGCCTTCCCCGAGTACCCTGTGATGGACAGAACATTAATTTCTATGGTTCAGAAGCAGATCGGTTTGTTATAGCGTTTAATCAATCGTTTTGTCTTCCGTCAGTATCCTACGAATGTGACACGTGCAATGTGAAGAAAGATGTCGTCACTCCAGAAATCTTTATCTCTGCAGATGGAGACCTATCTCACCTGCCTGGGCCGGACCAGGTAAAGGTGATGTTGAATGCCTGGTTTTTTCCGGGAAGTCAGCCTTGTCGTTGTGGTGGTGTGCGCTCGTATTCTCGACGGAGGTTGCAGGTGCTACGTGGCTCCAGAGTGGGGTGCTCTGTGGCATTCTTTTGCTGCATTTGCCGCGAAATGGTTGGTCGGCACACAATTTATTCTGCTGCAGATTTTCCTTTACAGGTTAAAGTGCCAGGCACTGATTCCGGCCGCCTGACTGCATACCGGTTGCTGGGTGTGACCTATGGAAATGGTCAACATTTTGTGTCTCATATTCATGAAAATGGCACGTTTTATTTCTACGATGGCATGAATGCAGCCACAGGGGGGCGGCCTCAGGCTGTGGTTGGCCCTCCAGTGGCTCCAGCTGGCTATCAGCTTGGCCACATTATGTATGCTGCAGTTGTACCGGCATGAAGAGCATATTTTATGTGAGAATTTTCATGATCTGTCACTCATAATGTCGTAATGAGAATGGATACTTGTTGGGTGTGTACGGCATCACATCTGCTTGGGAGCACGGCTCCAGAGCAGAACATCTTTAGTCACAGAAAAGTGAAGGCCCATTCCAAGTCCGATGTAACAAACAAACACCAAAATATCCTACAATGTACTGCATTAGATGCCTAACGGAGTAAGGTGTGCTGTCCTGAAGGCAACAATACAGGCTACATAAGGAGGCGCACAGATCACAAGTAATGCAATGTCGACAGTATACAAATTCAATGGCAGCAGGGGGGGGGGGGGGGGGAGTCTTAGGCTGTTGCTGAGCACCATTCTGTCCCACACGCTACAATAGCTGTCACTACCATAGTGACTGTCACTTGAGATGCACGAAAGTAACTAGTTGGTCGCAAGCAACCGCGTTATGGAAAGGTTATGTGGAATAGCTGTATGTACACGGAAGTATGTAAATTACGCGATTATGTGCGCGACAGTCCCGGAGGGAGAGACCATTGCAGAATAACTTACATCAATGGTGGATTAAATAGAGTGAGAAGGGCACAGCATGAAAAGATTTCATCTCCAATATCAGCCATACTGATCGGCAGGAAGCGAAGGATGGAATAATTCTTGATCTGCTGAATGGCTCGCTCCACATGAATCCTCAGTGATGCAATGCGTCGTGTTGTAAGTAGATCTTCTTCGGAGAACTGTTGATGGTGGAGAAAGGGTGGGATATTGACACCAACACCATACACAAGTGCGTCGGATGCAATGTCAAACCCTTTGTCGGCCATAATCACATCGCCTTTGTCCAGCAGCTTCAGTAGTTCGCATCTCCTCACCAACTCCTTGTCAGACGTCCGTCCACCATACAGCTGCGACACAAACGACAGAGCACCACCAGGTGTTATTCCTACAAGCGCTTTAACGGTGTTACGTTGCTTGTATTCCGACCATGTGGCAGCTTGAGTGGTGGGGTTCTTTGGCTTTTCTATCGGAATCTCCAACGCATCGATGATAATCCGTGTCCGTGGATACATTTCGCGGAACGACAGTGACATTAGCTCATCCACTTGGGATCTGCTCGGGAAGATCGGGATTTGGCGAAGTGCATTGGCAGTCAACGGAATCCAATGGCGGATAATCCTGGATATTGTTGGTTGGGAGACACCAGTTAGCCGTGCCAGCTCCTCTTCCGGATAATCCTTCCACACCTTCACCATTGCAATAAAAAAGCAGTCTTCCAGTGGAAGGATTGGTGCAGTACCTCTTGCTTGGGTGGCAGAACGGGTGGACAAAACAAGTTTGAACATCTCCTCAAACTGTCCGAATGTTCTGAACCCAGTATACCAGCGAATGTTTTTGTCCGATGTGAACTGCCGTGCCGTAAAACGCTGCCGTTCAAGCTGAGCTTCGAGGATCGTGTTTTGGTCTTTCAATAGCTCTAGCTGTGATTTCAGGTCCAAGATCTCATCCCTCAGCCGCTGATTCTCTTCGACAACGTCCACCTCTCCAGTATCTTCGGTGCTGGCCACTTCTTCCTCATCCACCGTCATACTTTCTTCCTCGGCCTCACTCGCTTTCTTGGAGGTCAGTGTTTGGCGCTCCACCACTGGGATGGTCCAAGCAAATACAGAGGGAACTTCATCGTCATTCTGGCGTTGCAGGGCTGGGAAATGTGCTCCACATACACGCACATCGTTTGTTGCAGTCACAGTCAAATTTTGTTTTCGAACAGCATCTTTCCACGATTTGATTAATTTTCTTTGCCGTTTAGCTAGATGTGGATCAGCGCTTTCGGGCAGGGGTTTGGGGAACTTGGCGAACGGCAACGTCCTGCACACGCTGCAAGCGCCCCTACAGCCGACTCGCTTTGCCGTATTCCCACAAAGACGATACTCTTCCATCGACCATTTGCCAGTGCAGTCCTGAACACGTCGGTACCCTCGCTTGCATTTCTTCGCCCCAGACACGTTCCGACAGCCAGGAACAGTACAGGAGTGCGGCATTGCTAGTTTAGAACGTATGCTGACAGCGGTGAAAACAGAAAACCCCTTAGCTAGTAAGGGATCAAAACAACACACGTTCCAAAACTAAGTCACGTCAAAAGAAAACAAGCAAAGCGGACTTCTTGTTCGTAAAATCTTTCTCCCAGACAATGCAAATGCTGCCTCTGCCAGCTTGATTTTGAACAGTACCCCCGCGCCGGCCGCGCGGTGAAAGGATGACGTAATTGAATAAGGTCTATTGGTTTACACCAGGGAGTCGTAAAAGCCCGGGAGAGGACACGGCACACATTCCCAGAAAACATCTTTGCCTCGCGCTGCCGGGGAACGCTGCCAGGGAACGGTGTTGCGAGGCAAGGAAATTATTATTTTCGAAAATTGTGATGTCTTCTTGAAATACTAATTGGGACATTCTCCGATTTCTCTTAGAGCACGGAGACGATTGCTCCGTCGAGTCTTCTGATCTCTATTTTCATCCTCAATTCTTCCAGCTGCCTCACTCATTCTCTCTCAGTTTATCGAAGTTAATTTATTCTGAGGCGATGGAAATGCAAGACAAATCCCTAATTGTACTTCACTTTTATTTGAGTTGGGGTGAACGAAATGAGATTTGTGGAAAATGACGCCACTTCCCGTGTTAGCCGCTGGTCGTATCATACAGCCCATATTCCATTGCAGGTGATGGGCCAACGTTCGTGTTGAGATCCGCTGAGTTTCCTCGTACTCGTGGAGTTGAATTTGTGGCAGAAATTGCACTGAATTGCAGTCAAATGGTTGTGAATGAAACGAGATTTGTGGAAAATGACGCCACTTCCCGTGTTAGCCGCTGGTCGTAGCATACAGCCCATATTCCATTGCAGGTGATGGGCGAACGTTCGTGTTGAGATCCGCTGAGCTTCCTCGTACTCGTGGAGTTGAATTTGCGGCAGAAATTGCACTGAATTGCAGTCAAATGGTTGTGAATGAAACGAGATTTGTGGAAAATGACGCCACTTCCCGTGTTAGCCGCTGATCGTATCATACAGCCCATATTCCATTGCAGGTGATGGGCGAACGTTCGTGTTGAGATCCGCTGAGCTTCCTCGTACTCGTGGAGTTGAATTTGCGGCAGAAATTGCACTGAATTGCAGTCAAATGGTTGTGAATGAAACGAGATTTGTGGAAAATGACGCCACTTCCCGTGTTAACCACTGGTCGTATCATACAGCCCATATTCCATTGCAGGTGATGGGCGAAAGTTCTTGTGGAGATCCGCTGAGCTTCCTCGGCGTACTCGTGGATTTATGAATTTGTGTCAGAAATTGCACTGAAATTGCAGTCGAGTGGACTTCTGTGCGTGTGTTGTGAGTAAATCGCGACGGCTCCCTTCCTTCAGCATCGTCAAAACGCAACATAGAGCATTATTACGCACTCGTTCCATGATTCATGATAATGCCTGGATTCTTTTAAAAACAATCAATGTGTGTTCCCTATCTATCTACATTGTACATGGTTGCAGGTCGTTATTTATAAATCTTGATAATTTCAACACTTTTCTACTCGTATACTGAGTACGCGGTGACTTGAGCCGTTTAGGAAACGGAAGTCTTGGCGAGTGTACAAAAGGTAAACCTATCATTTGTACTTCATAACGGAATTGTGCACAAAAATGCACACACACGTTCGCGCGCACACACACAAGCACACACACAAACACTGTACAAACACACACAAAAGTACAAGCACATGTGCACATACACACGCCTCTCCCCCCCCCCCACACACACACACACTCAACTCCCCACCCCTGTACTGAGTCTGACAGACATACAATCATGTTTATCCTTCCTTCGCCACCAGTTTCGAATAATGGTGTCAACAACGAGTTGTAAAATATTGGTATTTTAGGACTCCCTGCCCTGAAGACAAGCACAGCGCCGTGGATCGAGCAGATCCGGCCGCGCCGGCCTAGCGTGCTTCACTTTCTGGCCGAGGCAAACATCGTCCGCGTGCGCGCATCCCGTGTCCTCTCCCGGGCTTTTACGACTCCCTGGTTTACACAAAATCATGAAAATGGCGACCATGAGCCCGTGTCATGAGCCCGTGTCGCAAAAAATAAAAAAGGAATGCGAAGGAAAGAAAACGATGATGCATGAGTTTGTTTTATGTGTCTCGATCTGTTTTGTTTTTGAGTTTCTGCCTGTGAATGTAAGCCATAATTCATTTTCTACTTCTTTTCTCGTCTACTGTAACTGAAGAGGAACTTCAAATTGATAACTCAGGTTGTCCTCTCTTATTTTATTGCACACATAACAGTGAAGGAGGAAAGCCAAGGTTCTGCTTTTATTGAAGTCTGGAGTATTTACTGTGTGTCATACTAAGCAGAACTCTCTTGGAATTGAGCAAAGAGAGAATTCGAAGTACTGTCCAACAATATTACCCGTAGAAAACTGAATTCCCGGCGACAAATTTCCAATTGCTCAAAGCAGCGTGAGCAGTGAATGCCGAGAGATGGTGGAGCTATGTCGGACAATGGCGTAGTGAAGGGAGGTGACGGCCCTGTGCTTTCAGAGAACGAGAGGAAATTAGCTGGGCAAGCGCAGAATGCCTTCGAGGCTGGGAGTTATGGAGAGTGCCTGTCCCACCTGGGTCGCCTGAGAGAGCTGCGGCCTGCGGATCATAAAGTACTGCACAACATTGCTGTTGCTAGGTATTATTATTCAGGCCTGACACAGACTGGCGACTTCGTGCAGTCTTTATCTGGATTGAAAACACAGGTAAAGGAAGCTAATAAGTATAGTGCATGTATGTACATTATGCGTGTCGGTGTGAGTGTGTATAGGCGAGAGAGAGAGAGAGAGAGAGAGAGCGAGAGAGAGCGTGCGTGTGCGTGCGTGTGTGTGCGTGTGTGTGTGTGTCCCATATGGTGCAGTGGTATGTGCAGTCGATTTCCAATCGAGAGGTTGCGGGTTCAATTCCCGACGATTATGGTCGCACACGTCTTTCTTCTCTTTCTCGGACTCTTCCTGACTTTTCTTTCATTCTCCTGGGTGGTTACCAACAGCCAGTGTATGCCGGAGTATGTGGTGTGGTGTGTGTGTGTAGAAAAAGAAAAAAAATGGAAAAATGAAAAAATAGGGATTCACTGGCCAGAAAAAGTCACTTCAAACAGCTGTGTGGTGGATACCAGGCTAAAAATAGTGGCGGTCAATTCATTAGCCTTGCAAGCTGTTGAATGGTGTAATCCCAGCACAAGTCGCTATGTCTAACATAGCTGTTCGCTATCATCGCTTCCGCGATGGGCATGTCTGAGGTCTGAGGTGCATGCAGTGCACGTTCTGCTAGGTAAAACCTGTATCTATGTTTTTGCCTTTCACTAGGCAACACATACACACACACACACACACACCATTGGACCATTGGACGCCCATCGCCGGAGGCGATGATAGCGATGCTACAGCAGAAGCCATAGCAGCTTGTGCTGGGATTGCACCATTCAACAGCTTGCAAGGCCGAAGAATTGACCGCCACTATTCAGCCTGGTCTACACCACACACACACACACACACACACACACACACACACACACACACACACACACACACACACACACACACACACACACACACACACCGAATAATGCTCCACACAATGACGAATGTGCACTTGTAGTAGATACGTGCATGAGTGAGGACTGAAAGAGGCTTGAAACTGGAAACTTTCAAGTTACGACGTATTCCATTTGCACCCTCTATCTCTTTCATACGTGAATGAGGACTCACACAGGTATGCTGCGGATTGTCTCGGCTTGTTGTTTTGTTTTGTCACCACACACACACATCCGCCATGCGTTTGTGATGCACATCTTAGTCTCTCTAGCATCAGGGTGGTAGAGAGTAGTGGAAATAAGTGACATGCATGCCCTTCGGCAGGCTGTCACGGCTATATCAAATAGGTGTTAGTTGAGGCAAATTGTCACTTCATTGTATTATCACCGTCAGTTTGCACCCGTTGGTTGCTCGATGTGTGGCCAGGGATAGCAGGCATGGCGGCCAGGCTGCCACATCCAGTACAGTTACATAAGCAGCGCGCATGCACGCTGCTAGCGCCCGTATAGTCTTTCTAGTCAGAGTTCTACCTGTGGTTTGAAGTACAGTGATCTAGTCGTGTGTGAGTGTGATGTGGTATAGTGACCTATAGCCATGTGTGAGTGTGATGTGGTATAGTGGCGTATAGCCATGTGTGAGTGTGATGTGGTATAGTGGCGTATAGCCATGTGTGAGTGTGATGTGGTGTAGTGACCTATAGCCATGTGTGAGTGTGATGTGGTATAGTGGCGTATAGCCATGTGTGAGTGTGATGTGGTGTAGTGACCTATAGCCATGTGTGAGTGTGATGTGGTATAGTGGCGTATAGCCATGTGTGAGTGTGATGTGGTATAGTGGCGTATAGCCATGTGTGAGTGTGATGTGGTATAGCCTACTATAGGGACCTATAGCCATGTGTGAGTGTGATGTGGTAGAGTGACCTATAGCCATGTGTGAGTGTGATGTGGTATAGGGATCTATAGTCATGTGTGAGTGTGATGTGGTGTAGTGACCTATAGCCATGTGTGAGTGTGATGTGGTATAGTGATGTAGTCATCTGTGAGGGTGATGTGGTATAGTAATGTAGTCATCTGTGAGGGTGATGTGGCTACCTCCAGTGGAGAATGTTGTTTTAATGCATATGCATGTATGCCCAGAGATGGAGTATTGTGAATGGGGAAAGGCGCACAGAAGAGGCTGGAAAAACAAAGGCAATGAAACTGTCAGCTTTTCTCTTCTCGGTACATTCACACCTTTACCATTGCAATGCGTGCACTCTTGCCGTCTTTGATGTGACTTTACTCGGTGACTGCTAAGAATGCCTTTGGTGTGACTTTACTCGGTGACTGCTAAGAATTCCTGTCTGCTAGTGTTCCTTCTTGTGACCTGTTGGTGCTGAAATATGCTTGATCACGCACCATTTGGGGTGTGACCTCTCACCGTAAATCACTGTTGTGTCAAAAGAGTTACTTCCTTGCACAACTTGCTCCATTCCTTATTTTTACCCATGGAGGAGTTGTTCAACTTCTTACACTCAAATTGTTTGCTGCTAGCCGTGGAGTGAGGGATTCGGTGTACATTCTTTTCTGCTGCTGTCAAGGCCTTCTTGTATTTGACTTTTTATGATGCACTTGCCACTTGTCCTTATCCTTTGAAGTTTATGGCCAGTGTCTAAACTGAGTATGGGTTCTGAGTCTTCTGACCCGGCCAATATGCATCGATGTGATTGTATTCTCAGTGTTTGTTTCATGTGTTGCGAACTTGCCTTTTGCAATCTTGCTGCGCCATTGCTACTACTGCTGCTTGCCTGCCTGCTGCTGCCGTTGCTGCTTGCCTACCTGCTGTTGCTGCTTGCCTACCTGCTTGCACAGCTGGAAACCTCAGCGGGTGATGGCGGTGAAGTGGAGAAGCGAGTGCTGCTCTTCAATTTGGCGACAGTTCACTTCCAGGTATGTTTCCTTCATTCTACACCAGCACAAGTACATTTACTACGCACTTTTTTTTCCAGATATTAACCCTTTACCATCCGACCAAAATTCCCCAGCAGTCCCAAATGCAATAAGTTTCACCATATTCTGAGAATATCTTCGGTTCTAATACACCAATTTTCACAAACTTGGGCATTCTGGAAAGCTCTCCACGCGCTGCGTCCATTGAGCTCAAACAGGACACTACCAAGATCACATATCCAGCGCCAGGGAGCTTCAAATACACCCCATCGCTTGATATACGAGGACATTCTCTCCTCGCCAGCCATTTCTCGCTCCTTCATCGTAAACAACCCAAATCTTTTGCTCGAGTTTCTTTTCATGCTGCCCACGCACTCAAAGCATGCAAAAGTGACTCAGCATGTCAGGAGAGGGGAAATTCCCCGCTCAAGGTCAGTCACTCGGAAAGAAATTCGACTTTTGCCGTGGCCGAAATGTCGAGCGGAATATCTTTGGAATGCGACATCGCAGCTCTTCACCGAATGATGCAATGGAAAGCTGAGCTCTTCGGCTTCTTCCTAGATACTTAATTATTTAAATTCCGACATGAATCGATTGAGTTACGTATGTTTTAGTGTATGCATGTCCATCGATCTCTAGAGATCGATTCAAGTACGCACGGATGATAAAGGGTTAATCATTATAATTGCAAAACGATTGCCCTGTACAGTGATGACTTAAGTGAGGCCCTGGATTGTTTGCATACGCACTGCTGAGCTAAAAAAATCATGGTGGATAGTATGCACGCCCCTGATTTGGCAGCAAAGCGTGAAGGTCCGTGTTATGGCGTTCACTTTCGGGTGTTGCGTATGCACGTGTACTGCTGCATGCATGTGTACCGTTGTTACTGTGAACCTCCCATTATTCCTGGTGTAACTGCAAGATAGGGCGGCATGCGGACGGTACAGTGCAGCAGTTGTAGATATGCATGCATGCAATGTCCATGCTTTGCGGCCAGTGTGATCGCGTGCTGTGTTGGTGTAGTGCGAGTGCACCGCTCCTGGGTTCTGAGTTCACTTTTCACCACTATAGTTACCAGTACATGTACGGTCAGACCTCGCTGATCCGGTCCTCTTTTATCCGGATCCCTCGTCGTCCGGAAGAAAATATCTGGTTACTGATTTACAGCATACGTGATGCATCCAACAACTGGTGTTCGGTTGTCCGGTTCCCTCGCCTATCCGGATATTTTTTTGTGGGGAACGGATGTGTGCGGTTAAGCGAGGTCTGACTGTATCACTGGCCGGCACTCAACAGCTGCATTTCACCCAAGAAAAACATTCTTTTGCATATGCAGCAGCTGTTGTGTCGGTTAGTTTTGCCGGCAATTGGAATATTCTACAATGAAGCTGCGCGAAGTGCCTTTCAAGGCTTTTTGGCTTGTCTTACCTACGCTTCTCTGCCGTGCTTGTAAATGGGGCGTATTTCCTGGCGAAAATAATGTCTTCTTCGCATCTTTCTGTGTGTGTGTGTGTGTGTGTGCGTGTGTGTGTGTGTGTGTGTGTGCATGTGCGTGTTATTCTGATTCTCAGCTGCAGCAATTTGCTGTAGCGACCAGCATTGCCGAGCGCCTACTACCGCGTGTAGATCTGTTCAGTGAGTGTTTGGTGCTTGTCCGTTGTATTTACTATTTATGCCGTATACTGAGGCTGCGTACGAAATTACGATACTGATACGTACTTTTAAAACCTATTTTTGTGTACAATTGGCATGGCTGGACAGTTTTGTACGTATGGAAATGTTGTGTACGTGGTTCCGGAACTTCCGTGTGAAAACCTGTGAAATGTTTCATGTACGAAAATGAAAATATTCTTGACAGTACAGGTCAGACCTCGCTATAACGACCCCCGCTATAACATAAACCTCACTATAACGTACAAATGTGAATGTCCCTGCCGAAACCGCATCACTTCTGTACAAAATTTCCTCGCTATAACATAATCCGCTATAGCGTAATGTTCGCTATAACGCACTGTTTGCTGGGTCCCGGGCGCACGGAGACCTCAGCATAACGTAAAAACTCGTATAAAAATGACTATGTACACGGCATGCATGCCTTCTCGCGACGAATTCGAGACTGAGCCGTCCACCTCGGAAGCAGGGAGTAGTAAAATACCGGTATTTTACTACTCCCATTACTTTTTATAGGCTCTAATCGTCACATCACGACTCACATGTACAAGTACACGCACTACATGGCTCTTGTCACCCCTTTGCTGACAAGCCTGTACACATGTGCACATCTTTGCCAGGCATCATCATACTTGTATGTAAAACAGTACAGTTGTAATCAGTAAGTGAAGAGCGTCATTTTGACATACATATTGCATATTGGTGTGCCCAACTCAGTATAACATAAACCTCGCTATAACATAATTTCTCCCATACCCCAGAGATTACGTTATAGCGAGGTCTGACCTGTATGTGGCGTTTGGTGAAATCACCTTTGATGTTAGCGTACAGTACCTTGCATCCACGTTTGTTAGTGTACAGTATCGCATATGTATGCTGCTTGTGTTCCATGTACCGTCTATTCGCACACTGTGTGCACTGGTGGTAGTTCAAGGTCAGTGATGATCAGAAATTGGCCCCAGGCGTGTAATTTCGTGCACTCAGTCTCTACTTGTGCGAGTTGGGTGGTGACGGTGTTCATTTTGGTCATGTAGGCATATGTCCACGGGCAGTTTTCTGGCTTGTTGCCACTCCACGGAGCACTGGAAGTTTTCACATCCTGAAATTTCTTACCCGTTTCCATGGCAACGGAAAATGATTTTTCGCTTTTTATAGGTTTGTTTGCACATAAGTCACTTTCTAATGGGGTCCATGTATTATCCTGTATGCTTTTGGGGACAGCTGAGATTGACTTCTGCATGAGCACAGCGACAATTATTTGGCTTGCACGGCTTGTATCGTAGGTTGCCTGGGTATGAAGTCATACAATGTACATGGCTGTGTGTGGGTGTGGTCTCTGTACATAATCGTTAGGTGTGTGTTTGTGGCCTCCTTTTTACTATACATTGTAAAAGCTTATTCTGTGTCTTTTTGGAGGTAGTAGCAACAATGTGATCGTACTGTTACTGGTGCTCCAACATAGCGAATTGAATGTTGCCTTGGTAACTGGTCTGGGTACGAGGTCACATGGCTTTATCAGCGGTGGAAGATCTTGCCCGTTACAGCTGTGGTTTATTCGAAGTTAATTGTAGCATGTAACGCTATCCAGTATCTTATTTGCTTTTAACCAATTGTATCTCTATGTTGTCTGGGTGCGAGTACGTTACCATGGCAACCCGGCAGCGGCCAAATGTTTGCATGCCTTTTTTTGTGGACCAATGGATATCTTTGCAAATAGTCGGTATAGATTTGGGTGTATTGTGTGTTTTATCTGTTGTCGTAGTTTTTTTGTGACTATTGACCATGAAGTCCTTTTCAGATCAAATACTTGCAGCAGAGCTGGTAATAGCATACTCTGGCTTCCCTTCAACCACGAATAAATCTTTCGCCTTTTACTAAAGATTTCCGTGGAGGGGAGCAATGAAGGAGTCTTCGTACCAATTTTTTTATAGCCCTTGTTCATTGAGCAAGGGTTATCTATAACAATCAAAAGAAAAAGTGTTGTGTTTTTCCTGTTTCTATCACGTTCACAGGTGATAGCTTTTCCAGGTCGGTGTACTTCCTTTTGTGTGATCTCTACTTGTTGACGTCTGAGGTACGGAGTGCCTGCATTCTTCGTTTGTATTTTCTGTCAGGGTCCAGACACCCATTGGATCTTCTTACGTTACCTCCCTTATACAGCCACGTTTTGGGTTACTTTTCTTATCCCACATGATCGGATTTCATTGAGCAGCGTTGCCCTTGAACTGTGTAAATGATATCGGCAGGTAGCCGAGATGACCTGATATTGAGGTAGGGCCCTGCTGAGGATCTACAGTGCATGACACTCCACACTGCTCCCTCCCCAGTGCGTCAATACCAAATAATAATTTCACTTGCCTCTGCCATTCCTGTTTTTTTTTTGCTAGTACTGAGAACACCATTGTATAGCCGGTGGTAACGTGTATGTGCGAACTTTACTTTATTGTACAGACAAGCAAGGCATCATGGCTGATTTCGAAGATTGACCAGTATCTGCTGGCACAGAACAACTCCCAGTTGAGCAATGTCAACAACAAGGGGGAGCGAAGTCAGGTAGGGAGCATGAGCGTCTCTCTCTCTCTCTCTCTCTCTCTCTCTCTCTCTCTCTCTCTCTCTCTCTCTCTCTCTCTCTCTCTCTCTCTCTCTCTCTCTCTCTCTCTCTCTCTCTCTCTCTCCTTGCTCACTCAAGTCTACTTTGCTTGGTAGGAAAGATAATGCATTTCTTCTCTCAAAGTGATAAGATGTCTTCAGGCTTCTCCCCTCTCCCCCGAAATGTACTGTATGAGTACTCTGGATCTGATCTGTAGTTTGTGATGTTCTTTGTCCAGCATGCTGACAGGGAGAGGGCCTCCAATCCACTTGGCGACAGAGAGCTTTACCGCCTTTGTCAGGTAAGCGCGCATGTGTGTGTGTGTGTGTGTGTGTGTGTGTGTGTGTGTGTGTGTGTGTGTGTGTGTGTGTCTGTGTGTGTGTGTGTACATGTGTGTGTATACGTGTGTGCTGCACGCGCTCGCTCTTGTACGTCTGTGCGTTTTACCATACACTTTGCGTGAGTGCTGTAAGACATGTTATAATTTATGATAAATGCCAAAAGATAACCCAAGAAGATTATGTTATCATTGATTCATTGGTGTTGTCTCTCCTTGGTCTGTGTGCAGCTGAAGTTTCGGCTATGCTTGATGAAGCGAGTAGCGAAAAACATGTGCAAACGGGAAATGACCAATATGATGTCCACTTCTCACGGCACGGTAGGTGTTTCTCTCTATCAACTGGCGAGAGAGAGTGCTTGACTCGTCTCCGTTGGGGGCTTCGGTGATGGCAGTATATCTGCTTGACCCGGTACATGTGTTCGTGTTTTGTAGGTATTGGTGATTGTTTGTGTCAGCCAGCTTGCTTCAGGCGATCTTTTCACTCTATGTGTGTGTGTATGGGGGGGGGGGGGGGGTATTCGTGTGCTGGCGTGCTTGCGTATGCTTGTGACAGTCAATTTTCCTTGAGGAGCCTTCAGGTTTTATTCTACTTGTCTGAAACTGATGAATTCTGTGTATTTATCGCTGAAACTGATGAATTTCGGTTATTTATTGTTCCGGAAGCTTATGGATGCTGCATATCTATGTATGATGTGTTTCGTTACTGCACAGTCACAAGGGGCTCTGTTCCTGAAGAGCCAGTTTGAGTTCAACAACCAGAAGTACACTAAGGCGGCCAAGCTACTCTGCGACTGCTCTCAGCTGTCGTCTTCCAACGCGGCGTCGTCGGACGAGCTGAGCCTGCGTCGCGCCAACGCGTCTGCCCTGGGCACCAGCCACGCGTACCAGGACGACCTGTTCTACAACAACATGGCGTGTGTCTACAGTCGCATGAATCGCCATCACGTGGCCGCCTTCTACTGCCAACAGGCGCTCTACCTGAACGGCGAGCAGCTAGCAAAGGCAGCCACTGAACACGGTAATGTATGGTTTTAGTACTGTTGAAGCCGTACTGTTCAGTGTATATTATGTCATTGCTCAATGGGCTTCTTGTAATATGTGTGTGTGATGCTCTCGTACTGTACACTGTCCTGGTGGTGTCTTGACGCGGCTACTGCCACGCTAGTATGTGTGCAGGTCTCGGTATACTGCTAGTGCCCGTGTAGGGGACGTGTTTATCTGTGTATGTGTGTGTGTGTGTGTGTGTGTGTGTGCGTGCGTGCGTGTGTGTGTGTGTGTGTGTATGTGTGTGTATGTGTGTGTGTGTGTGTGTGTTTGTGTGTGTGTGTGTGTGTGTTTGTAATTCTAACCCGTATTGTGTGTGTGGTGTGGTGTGTCGTGGCTTTGATTGACTGTCTGTGTCCGCTGGTGCAGGCGTATCGTGCCTGGCAACACTGGATATCTACCACCGCCACCGCCAGCTGCTCTACAACACCGGCGTCGAGCTGCTGTTTGCCGGCCAGCCCGAGGCGGCCTTTGCCAGCCTGCTGGACGCCAGCAAGGCACTCTACTCTAGCCCACTGCTGTGGCTGCGCCTGGCCGAGGCATGCATTGCCGTTCACCAGCGCGATACGCACGCTGCTGGAGCTTCTGCTAGCAGTGGTGATGGCAGCGCAGCACGGCGTAACCAGCAACAGCAGCAGCAGTCCAGGCCCAGTCTGATCCGGGCTGGCGTCGGAAATGGTGCGCATCACAAGCTGATTGTCACATCCGCTGCTGAACACCTGGGGAAAAGGTAGCTAGCGTTTTGTTTGCTTTCCCTCACCCTCTCTCTCTCCTGCTCCGGTTGTTGCACACACACACACACACACACACACACACACACACACACACACACACACACACACACACACACACACACACACGCGCACACACACACACACGGGCACACACACACACACACACACGAACACACACACACGAACACACACACACACGCGCGCGCGGGCACACACACACACGGGCACACAAGTATGCACATGCTCTAAACCGCACACACCACACACTCATATCCATGCATGAACGCCAACCACAAAGAACACTACAAAAGACTTATGTTGCCAGGATCATATTGCCTACTGTAGCCAAGACCATTCGCCCCTGTTCCCGCTATGGACTCATCCTTCCCATATTTCTGTCTCTCTCTCTCTCTCTCTCTCTCTCTCTCTCTCTCTCTCTCTCTCTCTCTCTCTCTCTCTCTCTCTCTCTTCTCAGGACGGAGACAGCAGCCATTCCAGCCTTGACCCTTGAGTTTGCTAACCTCTGCCTAAAGAACTCATCATTGCTCCTGAAGCAATGGTCACCTACGGCATCCCGCGACTCTCGGACGAACCCGATGGCTTCGGGGAGTGCAGCATCAGCAGCGCGAGGACAGAATTCACTATTTACATCCCATGGCAATGGCCATGAAAACGGGCTGGACGCTGGCAGCAATGGGCTAAGCAGTGACGTTCATGCACGCAGTTCAGCACTTGACTCTTGGTGAGCTCTTTGCTTGTATTTTTACCGGTGCTCTATGTTTTTACGGCTGTCTCTGGGTGTTTCCCTCGCATGCTTGTTTACCGCAGGCCTGTATGCTTCACACATACTAACTGCTTGTACTCGTGTTGTCCTTCACTCTACTCTCACACCAGCAAACGCCGCCCTCACTGTTCCACACGTTGCTTGTGGACATGGTCTTGCCCAGAATCAACTGGGCGCTGCTGGTCTTGTAGTAATGTTATTGTTTTGGTTGGTTGGTTGGATTTATTTAAAGTCGTACAACAAACAGGCATATCTGCCTCCTTATAAGTTATATGAAGACGACTTCTGGCAGTAAAACATTTTTTTAAAAGAAGTAAACTCTCACAGCAGCTGTGTGCGGCCATGGTCTTGTTCCCTGCAGCCCGCCGAGTACTGGTCAGCAACGCTTTCCACACCACACGGTCGACGCTGTCCCACTTCGGTAAGCATGTGTACATGGTGGATAACATGTTTATTTCGATTGACAGCATGTTACAAGGCGGAGGACGACGCACTGTGTTGAAACACAGTCCTCCTACAGCCATCATCGGTTGGCAGAGCCCCGGCCTTGACGATGATGGTTGTCGTCAGGAGCACTGCTTTTCAACACAGTGTGTCCTCCGCCTTGTAACATGCTGTCGGCCGAAATAAACATGTTGTCTATCAACAAGGCTACGCTTACATAATTATAATATGGTAGATACATGTAGATGCTGACAGCTATCCGTGTTCTGCTGCCTGGCGTAAACCCACTCCGTCTTGGATTTGCTGCTTCTAGGTGCAATTGTTGGAAAGTAAATGCAGGCTGGCAATAATGACCGTAGATTCCAACCTCGTCTACGAATATGCAGTACTAGTGCTCCTTAGTGCGCTCGCACTCCAACAAGAGGCTCACGTCCATGCGACGGCATGACACAGAAATGTGATGGTCGTGCTGACACTATGTCAGAACACGCAGAAGAGAGCTGTTGCGTTTTCAAATTTCTCAACGTTCGGAAGAATTGTTTGCATTTCAGGTTCGAACTGAGTGAGTTTTTGCAGGCAATGAGCCCTCTAATTTCATGCAAGGTCTGTACTAGCAGTTCTAGTTTCTGCGTACTGTAGTGAAGGTAAGGTTCTCTCTACATTCCATGCCATGTACATATACAACACGGCCGCTACAAGTACTGTAGTGTCTTGTATAAAAGCCGGTCTTGTATAGAAGCCTGTTTTGAATACAAGCCTGGTTTTTATACACACTGTCAGTGCATAAGCCTGGTTTAGTGTTGACATACATAGAGGTACGTGGTTTGAATGGAAGCCTGACTTGAATACAAGCCTAGCACTGATATCGGCTTATACGGCCGTAAGCACCTGCTTTTATACGCGGCATTACGGTACTGCAGAGGCAGAAAATTTCGTCGGTCAATAATTTTGTCCAACTCCTAAGAAAGGGAGTTCGTCCGGTTGTAAATTTCGTCCATGGATCATAATAGTGTATCGAAAAGCTGGACAAATCGATATTAGTCTGGCACTTAATTTAGTCCAAAAGTTCCTTGGACGAAAAAGACGAAATTAAATTCCAGACGAATATTTCTGCTTATACAGTATGTGGTCAGTATGTGGTCAGTATGTGGTCAGTATGTGGTACTTCTGTTTGCTGTGCGTAGAGCGTCAGTACTACTCTGCAGTACCTACGTGTCGCTGTGCCTTGGCAACTTTGTTGTGGCGCTGCACCGCGCCCAGGACCTGCTACGCATGCCCTCGTTGCCGGGCATGTTCCGTTGCCATGGCAGCCTGTACGCTGCCGAGGCGCTGGTGGAGTTGAGTCGTGTGGAGGAGGCTATTGTCGTCCTGTCACCGGAAACACTCGCTGATATGAATGCCTATCAGTCGGCACACCGTAAGTTGTTGTTGTTCTTGTTCTTGTTTCAAATCTTCATTCTCACGTTGTTGCGGCTGTTGTTGTTGTTGTTGTTGTTGTTGTTGTTGTTGTTGTTGTTGTTGTTGTTGTTGTTGTTGTTGTTGTTGTTGTTGTTGTTGTTGTTGTTGTTGTTGTTAATGTTGTTGTTAATGTTGTTGTTGTATTCTTTCATTTTACTTGGTTACGAGCACAGGCAAAGATTGTGTGTGGTGTGCTAGCCAGGAGTCTGGTGTTGCGTCAAAGAGAGTTGTGCTATTCTATGTGTAGAGCTTTGCACTACTCTAGTGCACACTACCGCACACGCACACACACACACACACACACACACACACACACACACACACACACACGCACGTGCGCACACACACACACACACACTCACACACACAGAAATCTCCTCACACGCCTCTCCTCTTTCTTCTTTTTCATTCTTGTATGCATTGCAGAGGCTGATGGTAGCACAAGTTCCGCTGCTCACAGAACATCGGGTGCCTACTCATCTGTACATTGTAAGCCTCTTGGTATGTGTGCCGGCATGCATGCATGTGTGTATGTATGTATGCGATATATGTGCCAGGGTGTTTGTGTGTATGTGAGATAAAGTGGGACAGGGAGTAGGTAGGAGAGAGAGAACCTTGAGAACTGTAACTGTACTAGTTTGTCAGGAAAAATGGAAAAAAACCCACGGTTGGCGTGAGACTCGTTTTTCCGCATTCGTAGGAACGCCACCACCCTGTATAGATGGATTGTCAGAATGGCACCGTTACTTCTTTGGATTTGTCAGAATGGCACCGTTACTTCTTTGGATTTGTCAGAATGGCACCGTTACTTCTTTGGATTTGTCAGAATGGCACCGTTACTTCTTTGGATTTGTCAGAATGGCACCGTTACTTCTTTGGATTTGTCAGAATGGCACCGTTACTTCTTTGGATTTGTCAGAATGGCACCGTTACTTCTTTGGATTTGTCAGAATGGCACCGTTACTTCTTTGGATTTGTCAGAATGGCACCGTTACTTCTTTGGATTTGTCAGAATGGCACCGTTACTTCTTTGGATTTGTCAGAATGGCACCGTTACTTCTTTGGATTTGTCAGAATGGCACCGTTACTTCTTTGGATTTGTCAGAATGGCACCGTTACTTCTTTGGATTTGTCAGAATGGCACCGTTACTTCTTTGGATTTGTCAGAATGGCACCGTTACTTCTTTGGATTTGTCAGAATGGCACCGTTACTTCTTTGGATTTGTCAGAATGGCACCGTTACTTCTTTGGATTTGTCAGAATGGCACCGTTACTTCTTTGGATTTGTCAGAATGGCACCGTTACTTCTTTGGATTTGTCAGAATGGCACCGTTACTTCTTTGGATTTGTCAGAATGGTACCGTTACTTCTTTGGATTTGTCAGAATGGCACCGTTACTTCTTTGGATTTGTCAGAATGGCACCGTTACTTCTTTGGATTTGTCAGAATGGCACCGTTACTTCTTCGGATTTGTCAGAATGGCACCGTTACTTCTTTGGATTTGTCAGAATGGCACCGTTACTTCTTCGGATTTGTCAGAATGGCACCGTTACTTCTTCGGATTTGTCAGAATGGCACCGTTACTTCTTCGGATTTGTCAGAATGGCACCGTTACTTCTTCGGATTTGTCAGAATGGCACCGTTACTTCTTCGGATTTGTCAGAATGGCACCGTTACTTCTTTGGATTTGTCAGAATGGCACCGTTACTTCTTTGGATTTGTCAGAATGGCACCGTTACTTCTTTGGATTTGTCAGAATGGCACCGTTACTTCTTCGGATTTGTCAGAATGGCACCGTTACTTCTTTGGATTTGTCAGAATGGCACCGTTACTTCTTTGGATTTGTCAGAATGGCACCGTTACTTCTTCGGATTTGTCAGAATGGCACCGTTACTTCTTTCCCAGTAGCAGTGTTACTGTAGTGCCGCAAATCCATGTGCTCTACCTGTCCGTCGTCTCCTGGTTATTGACGGTGACATGTCGATTGCTGGCCTCAACACGTCTGTGTGTTTGGTACGCCATGACTGATTATGTGTGTGTGTGTGTCCACACATGCATGTGTGTATGCGTGCGTATATACATTATTTGTGTATGTGTATACACAAAAGGCGCACAGGAGGTTTTTTTAGAGTTCGTCGCTATTCCGAGGTTCTTGCACAATGCAACCATCAGTCGACTTTTAACATATTCAGTGGCACTTGGCCAATATAAATTATAGAGTGTAGTTTGGTGATGATTTAAATAGTGGGTATTGGTTCAACGCAGCCATTCAGTGGGTATGTGTATATCTAATTTGTGTGTACACTTGTGGTATGTGTGCAGATAATAACCTCTATCCCACCTCTCCGTCGTCTCTGTCGGCCGGCAAAGCCTACCTGTACCTGAACTTGGCATCGGTACACTCTCTCAACAATGATGTAGACAGGGCGAAACGATGCTTGCAACATGTAAGGCAACAACAACAGTGTTCTGTGTGTGTGTGTGTGTGTGTGTGTGTGTGTGTGTGTGTGTGTGTGTGTGTGTGTGTGTGTGTGTGTGTGTGTGTGTGTGTGTGTGTGTGTGTGTGTGTGTGTGTGTGTGTGTGTGTGTGTGTGTGTGTGTGTGTGTGTGTGTGTGTGTGTGTGTGTGTGTGTGTGTGTGTGTGTGTGTGTGTGTGTGTGTGTGTGTGTGTGTGTGTGTGTGTGTGTGTGTGTGTGTGTGTGTGTGTGTGTGTGTGTGTGTGTGTGTGTGTGTGTGTGTGTGTGTGTGTGTGTGTGTGTGTGTGTGTGTGTGTGTGTGTGTGTGTGTGTGTGTGTGTGTGTGTGTGTGTGTGTGTGTGTGTGTGTGTGTGTGTGTGTGTGTGTGTGTGTGTGTGTGTGTGTGTGTGTGTGTGTGTGTGTGTGTGTGTGTGTGTGTGTGTGTGTGTGTGTGTGTGTGTGTGTGTGTGTGTGTGTGTGTGTGTGTGTGTGTGTGTGTGTGTGTGTGTGTGTGTGTGTGTGTGTGTGTGTGTGTGTGTGTGTGTGTGTGTGTGTGTGTGTGTGTGTGTGTGTGTGTGTGTGTGTGTGTGTGTGTGTGTGTGTGTGTGTGTGTGTGTGTGTGTGTGTGTGTGTGTGTGTGTGTGTGTGTGTGTGTGTGTGTGTGTGTGTGTGTGTGTGTGTGTGTGTGTGTGTGTGTGTGTGTGTGTGTGTGTGTGTGTGTGTGTGTGTGTGTGTGTGTGTGTGTGTGTGTGTGTGTGTGTGTGTGTGTGTGTGTGTGTGTGTGTGTGTGTGTGTGTGTGTGTGTGTGTGTGTGTGTGTGTGTGTGTGTGTGTGTGTGTGTGTGTGTGTGTGTGTGTGTGTGTGTGTGTGTGTGTGTGTGTGTGTGTGTGTGTGTGTGTGTGTGTGTGTGTGTGTGTGTGTGTGTGTGTGTGTGTGTGTGTGTGTGTGTGTGTGTGTGTGTGTGTGTGTGTGTGTGTGTGTGTGTGTGTGTGTGTGTGTGTGTGTGTGTGTGTGTGTGTGTGTGTGTGTGTGTGTGTGTGTGTGTGTGTGTGTGTGTGTGTGTGTGTGTTTCCAATTTCTTGACATTTTGAACAAGTGTGCATTTTCCGGTTCGAATAATTGACTGTTTTTTCGCAGGCAGTGAGGCAAAGTGCGGATGAAGGATCAGCGTAGGTCCAGAAACGTTATCACTGCCCCCCCCCCCCCCCCCCAGAGTGTGTAACACCTGATCCAGCTCTGCATAAGGTCTTGGTCGGGTGTAGTCGGATCTTCTGATGTCATGTGTACACTCCACACCAGCGCAAGGCCGGTCTCGAGGCAGGGCACCGTTGTTTTTGATGCGAGAGTCCCCGCGACTCCCCGGGTTCCCCTCAGATGTGTACGGTGTTATGATGCAAAGATCTGATTACGTTCCCAAAAGTCACATGCAACTGTCACTGATGATGCAAGCCATTGCCATGTTGTTGTTGTTTTTGCCAGGCACAGTGAAACCTCGTTAGGAAGAACACTGATAAGACAAATGTTTGCCTAAGAAAAACTAGTATTCGTAACTGTATTGGATAAAACCCTGTGTATTCACTGGGTAAAACATACGGATAAGAAGAACTCCCGTTATTGCGAACAAATATCATCGGTTCCTTGATGATCGTCCTAAAGAGGTTTGACTGTATGTCTTTACCACCATTGTTCACCCAAAAGCATTCCTGCTTGTTCTGTTTGCTCTTGTTCTTCTCGTTGTGTCTGCACCACCATTATCCAACCGCAAGTATTCCGTTTTTGTCTTGTTCTTCTCTGTTCACGCTGTGTGTGCAGGCATGCGCATGTCTTCCAGCCCATGAGCTGCCACAGCAAGCCATCCATCTTGCTGCCTTCCTGGAACTGCAGTCGGGTAAGGAGTTTGGCAGTGGCTGGTACCACCAGCGGCCTTTTTTGTTGCATTTCCGGGCGAGAATTTTTTAAATGTTAGAGGGCAGATTCGTGTGGAATTCTTCAAAGTACTGTATAGCAGGAAATTTTCGGACGGAATTTATTTTCGTACGATTTCGTACACGGCCTCTTTTGTACTAAAATTAATTCCGTACTAAAATTTGTTCATGTGAAATTATGTACACTTTACATGGGTACTGCTTGCGAACACGTCCATTTAGCATGCAGCACTGTTCGAAAATATAATCCGTACGAAAGGTCGAAATTCGACTTTGTCCGAAAATATTTCCGTCCGAAAATTTCCTGCTATACAGTATTGTCTTATATCCTTTGGCCTCCTTTGCTTTTCACGAAAGTTAATACGGTTTGCGGATGCGAAGGCTAGTTTGTGTGTATCTGAACATTCAAGCGATGCCGACGCGGATCCCGCGAATATTATTATTAATTTTATTAATACGGTTTTTTCCTACTCCCTGATCACAGATTATAATAGGAGTACCTTTCTCACCAGCACGGAGTACTTTTCTTGTGGTTGAGACCATGCTGAGCTCAGACCTGCCAGCACAACACGGTGCAGGCGTAGATCAGGAACTGTTGATAAGGCGCTACCCAAACTTGAAATTTAGAACTTTGACAAAAAAAGTTGAAAAAACCCCGCCACAGTGCGCACTTTTGTGTGACATCTGTGGAGAATGCACCATGTCAAGTACAGAGAGGCAGTGCGCCCTAATGCCTGCGATCGGCAGTGCACAGTACACAGTGCACAGTACACAACGCAGTACACAAGAGGTACACAAAAGGAAGTAAGGTCTTATTTTGCCAATGTCAAGTACACGTGGTATTGCCAGCTTTATGCTACTGTTTGAACTACAAGTAAGCATGCCGTGTGCAAGTGAAGAATGTACCAGCTTTGATTTTATTTGATTTACCATTACTGTTACGTTGGCCTTGCAGGTAACAGAGCAGCCGCACTGCAGATCTTGAAGCGACACCATGTCCCACCAGCCATGATGACCAAGCAGACTGGCGATGCCGCCATGGCCACCAAGACGACGGCCACCAGTGGTGCTGCTGCTGGAGGAGGCAAGCGCAGCCGCAAGAGTTAGCCTGGGTGTGCCTGTGTGTGCTGCCGCTGCGGGCATGTGCACTGCTGTCTTTAGACTGGAGGAACCGGCTGGGGGAAATCCCCGACTTGATTGTGTGTGTGCGTGTGTGTGTGTGTGAGCTGTGTACAGTAGTATCATGTGCTGCACGTGATGTCGGTTGCTGATCTCCTTAGTGCTAGTAGTGTGTCTGTGCTAGTGTGTCTATTGTATGCTTGCTTTCCTGCCAGTGAGTTCTCACGCTGTGTTGATTTCTCCCTTTTCGAAGTGTGTTTGTGTTCTCACTTGAGGTACGGTAGTTGCCTCTCTCCCATTGCCACGACAACTGCAACTTAACTGGCTGCATGCATATTATTATAATCATAAGAATTATTCCCGCCGCCTTGTCATCTCCACTCTCAGGGTGCGCTCGGGATTGTCTGTCTGTCTGTCTGTCTGTCTCTGTCTGTCTGTATTGGTACGATTTTTTGTTTTCCGCTCAATTTACTTCAAGGATAAGAAAAAAGATACAGATTACAGCAAATTTCATAGCAGCCTACTAGCCTACACTGACTGGGTGCCTTGTCGGTGTAATAATATACACTGTGTAACTACTAAACGGCACATCACTACTCACTACTCGCTAGTGTGGAGAAAGCGAAATGGATCAATGAAGGGAAGGGAGGTGACCGAATTGGATCAATAAAAAAACGGGGTGATGGACGGCTGTTATAAAGCTCATTCATCGACTTCATTGCCAGCAGCATTTAAAATTAACAAGAAAATAGAAGCAAAATACAGATTAATACTACTACTCTTTGGGAAAAAGGGGCATCTACTACTTCAAAGAAGCATTCTACCTAGGTGTCTCCCTCGACTCTTCTGAAAGCGAATGCAAGTACACGGTAGTAGCCTAAAACAAATGCAATCAACTACAGGGGTTCTCCACCACTGACCCTCCTCGTCTGGAACAGCACGCTGTTGTTTCTAGCAATATCAGCAGCAGTAGTAGTAGCAGCAGACTTGGTAGGCATGGAAGCGGCGGATACAACAGGGATGATGAGATCAGTACTGTGACAGTAGTACCAGCAGACCAAGTCAAGTAAGTGATGTACTGAAGGACTACACGAGAGCACTAGTACTAGTAGTGTGATCGAAGTGTTTACCTTACTGCTGGGTACGACGACGTGGTCACACACTCGCATGGCAACGCTAACTAACCGACCGCACACTGCATGCAGTGGCAGCGGCGTTGGCCGGCGAGGTTTGGCAGCGACGCACTCCACTACTGAACACACGCCGCCGCCGCCACTGCAGTGTAGCGGCAGACTGCATAGCGGTTGTTCATTAGAACACGCACACTTGGATAGTGACAGCGGCTGCTCGTACCTAAACTGAAGAGAAGCAGGCGAAGTACCTGCTACTCCAGGAGCATCTGCACACCTCATAAAGTTAGCTGCTGCAGCTGAACAGTGCAAACGCCATCACTGGATGATGACATCACACAGATACTACCACTACTGCTACTACAGTTCTAGGTTGTAGGCTTCGATCTCCAGCGGTCGAATGCTGACGGGCGTGAACGGGCTGACGTCGTTGTGCCGATGTGCCAGTGACAGAGAGACGTTCTGCACACTACGCAGGTGCAGACCTTCAAACAGGGCACCTAGGTTCACCTGCACACACACACACACACACACACACACACACACACACACACACACACACACACACACACAAGCATGCCACCACAGTAGGAAAAAACACCAACACACGGAACAAAATGTTAGTGAGTGATCAGTAGTAACTTACAGATACAATGGCATCGGCAAAGACAAAGTCTGTACAGTAAAGTACAGTAAAGTTAGTATACAATAGTAGGGAGGTTTAGTCCCACGTAACGGATACGGGAACGTGGGTGATACACATAAAGTTCATGCAATGGACCCACATTCGCAATGTTGTTTTTAGTCACACGGAACAAAAAAAGCAAAATGCTTATGAACAGTGTCATTGAGCTGAACACACTGAGAGGGAAGAACAGGTTACAGGAATACGGCTACAGCCCCAAGTGGCAAAGGTGACACACAACTCCACATCACTACACCAGTATGGTGCACAGACGGTACACAACCCCACATCACGACACCCCACAGACAGTACACGACTCCACATCGCCAGCATGCATAAACAGCACACCGCTCCACATCGCCACACCAGCACGCTCACACTAACCTGAGAGTTTGTCGTCATGCAGAAATCCGGAACAGCGTAGCGACAGTCAAAGCCCTTGTTGTGGACGAGCAGTGCGCGGTGTGAGCCAGGCTGCGGCAGTCCACTGCCGCCCTCCTTCTGTAGAGTACGCAGGTTGACCATGAATAAGTTGCATGGTAGACCGGCCTGAGCAATGCCTGACAGTGGGGCTGGTACGGTGGGGTCAGTGTAAGGACTGCTGGAGACGTAGCTGATTGGGTGATGCATGAACAGCTCTAAGAGCATGTTGGCCATCAGTGTTGCATGTGCACTGCCCGCCTGCATACATACACACACAGACACAGACACACACATACCGTACAGCCCATAATTATACACAGACCACACACACACGGACGCACACACACACACATATGCACACACGCACACATATGCACACACGCACATATGCACACACGCACACACACACACACACAAACACACACGCACGCACACACGCACACACACACACACACACACACACACACACACAGCACAGGGAAGCATATGAAGAGCATGCCTGATTGAAGATACAAACATACAATACTGAGAGGTGACTGCGCAGAGGCACATACATACATGTGCGTTTCAGGAACGCACACGCACGCACGCACACACAAAATACATCACCCACCATATTATTGCGGGAATCCAGACCACTCACATGCCACAGAAGCTACCTTCTATACATGTACCGTAGTGTCTCATATAGAAGCCTGTTTTGAATAGAAGCCTGATTTTCAAGATGCACTGTCGGCACATACGCCTGGTTTTAGTGTTGACATACATAGAAATACCTGTCTTGTATAGAAGCCTGTCTCATGTAGAAGCCTGCAAAATTTCCCCCAAAAAGGTCAAATAAGCCGCGGCCGTTATACACGACTTTATGGCATCTACATAATGATTAGGATCATTGCAAAACACCAGCCGTACAGCACAAGATGACATTTGACATTGAACCTGACACTGCTGGATATCTCAGTGTGTTACACAAACGTATTATAGTCAAACAACTCAATATAAGGGACGTTTAGCAACGGGAAAGTTCGACATTTTGGTGGCAGTGATATTCCGCGAAAATATTATTCGGAGCTTCCGAAGAAGGAGGCTTGGTACCGAGGAAAGAGAAAGTTACTTCCGCAACTCACTAGTTCGTGTCCAAGTGTGCGAAGCTTCGAGCTTTGTTTCTGTACTCGTTCCCAGACTCACAAGTACTCCGGACAGAACAGAACAATACTAGATTGCCTTTTAATAGTAAAAACTGTACTATTTCGGCCACTGGCCAAAGAAAGCTGACCTCATGAATAAAGCAGTGTGGCGTTCAAGTGCGCCGAGTGGTGTGTGTGTGGTGCTAGGGTCGCATAGCCCCAGGCCCTATAATATTCATGAGGTTGGATTTCTCTGGTTAGAAGCTAGAACTGCACATGCACACCGGTCCTTGGACCGTGGACACAGAGTACGGACTTTTACGTCCCTTGGAGGCGTAATGTTTATACTGAGATTACTACTCAATCTGCGGACAGAACTGTTTCGTCTTTTGTGGACTCGTCAGCGCAGCACAGAGGAAATGAGGCCGAACCTGATAGCAATGAAAAATAAATTTATTTTGGGATACTATTAATTTACTAATCACCGCTCCATCGACCTTACCGTCTCTTCAGCAGCAGCTGGCTTCTGTTCGAGCAGCAGGCGGAATGAGGACTTTGTCGGTTTGTTGTCGGTGACTGGCTGGCCCAGGCCACGGTCGTCGTCTTGCATGAGACGCCGGTCCAGAACCACTTCAAGCCAGCCTGCGGCACGGCGAGGCAGATAGCGCACAGCCAGAACAAAACATGATACAGTGTACAGTTGTAAGAGCTACTGGACAAGTCCAAGCACGAATCTCTAACTAGTAAAAAGACGTGGTGAGCCATTCGGCCTTTCAATGATACAAGAGCACATGGAGGAGAGGAACATTGCAAGTCCAAGCACCTGCCTGATAGTAACTTGTGTTGCAAAGAAGGATCCACGAGCGGGATTCGAACCCAGCACCCTTGTCTTTTGCCATACCGTTTAGGCTACCGGGGATCACACACACACCCGTGGGTCTTTCTTGCTACACTTCCATGCACCGTCAAGACGTACAATACAGAGAGTTTCCACTACGACATGTTCTCACTCCTTACCTGGCTGTAGACTACTCGAGCCGAGCGGCTGAGCAGAAGCAAGTGATAGACGCTGTCTACTGTCCTCTAGGAATGCCATCGCC